GGTGTGCATGTACAAATTGAAGTTTAGGTTATATATATATATATATATATATATATAATAATTGAGTGGTATTTATGAAAATATTCAAAGATATGAATTGTGGTATGTATGTAAAATTTGAAGTTTAAGTCTTAGGTATGTATATACATAAGAATTGAGTGATATGTTTGAAATCTTCATAAAAAAATGAAGCTTAGGTGTTAGCTATGTATATACATAAGTATTGAGGGGAATGTATGAAATCTTTATAAAAATTGAAGCATAGAGGTTAGCTATGTAAATACATTATGTATTGAGTGGTATGTATTTACCTATTAGCAAAATTCAAGTTGGTTGGTTGAAAGTAAAGCAATACATGCATCGGATCTTGCTTGAATTGATGGTAATATAGAAGATGATGTTATTACTAGAATTCACGTTGGTTGGTTGAAGTGGAGGAATGCCACAATCAGGTCTATTGTTCAAAATGATGGTGATATAGATGGGGATGTTATTGGCATAATTGAAGTTGGTTGGTTGAATTGGAGGAATGAATCAATTTGTCAAATGTTTGAGGTGAGGGTGATATAGATAGGGATGTTATCAGTAGAATTAATGTTGGTTGGTTGAAGTAGAGGGGTGCATCAGATCTTGTTCAAGGTGATGGTGATATATATGGTTTTTTAATTAATAAAATTCAAGTTGGTTGCTTGCAGTTGGTTGGTTGACCAAGTAGTGCCGACTTCTTACTGTAAGTAATGACTAATTTTGATTCCTGTAGTAGTTGAAATGACCAGTAAAACTATATCTATGCTGCAAATGGAAATCCGTAATTTGAGAACTTGGATGTATAACAGATTATATACAGTACAAAAAGGACTCACAGATGAGTTCTTGAATGGTGTTGAGGAATTTGTGTATGTGGCATCACAACTGCCCATCTATCATTATGAGTAAAGTTTCGGTGTCCTTGTGCAAAGCACAAAAATCAAGCATTCTTTCGCCTGAAGAAGTTAAGTTGGATCTTTATCACAAGGGATTCAAAATTAATTATTAATAATAGAATACGCATGGTGAGCAAGAACCTGAAGTTCAGTTCGATCAAGGAGATGCCTCGACAAGTTATGCCCCCCATGCAAAGGAATTTGTTCCTAACACTTATAAAGAAATGGTTCATGATGCTCAGACAGCTCAATTTGTTAGGAGCATTCAACACGAAGATGAAAAATAGAGATTATCAGGAGCAGGTACGATGAGCCCTATCTGTCATGGAAGCAGATATCTGTAGTCACTCGGGATATATGGTTCAGGGAGTTTGAGGTATGATCATGTAATCTGGATCAAATTTGTAAATTTGATTTATTTTTTATACTAACAAATGGATTATTTTTTACGTTGTAGAAGTTCTTCACCGAGCTATCAGAGCACCACCACCAGATATGCAAAATTTTTTAGATTCAGGGCAGGCATTGCCTTGCCGAAATGTTCACGACAACCCTCCAGGGGGGCGAGCGGCCTGCCTGGATTGTTGAGGGGTTCTGCGGTCAATTGACCGCAGCTTTGACATCTCATGATTAAGAAAGGAGAAGGCAGACTAATCAAGCGATGGAGGGGGGTAAGGGGAGCTGCGCTCCATATTGGTAAATCAGTTTCACCATCACATCACTTGCAGTAACAGTAACAGCAGCGTCATGGGGAGGGGGGGAGGGGGGGGGGTCTCAGAGGCAATAGGCACCATCTGTCTGGAAGTATCCTCCCAAGGTGGAACTAAAATGTCTAGAGCTATGGGTTTAGACCCATCCTTATTCACTTGAACCTTGGAATTCAAATTTGGATGAAACTTGCAGCATTTATCAAGGACATGACCAACATCTTACAGTGGGTAAAATATGGGGGTCTGTGATCCATGACGATTTGTTGCCAATAATCATTATGGGTTGTGCCCAACCAAATTTCAGTAATATCAGGTAAAATAATATCCATTTCCATAAGTATTTTGGCCACCGATGGTCTGGTTATGCTGAAAGTAGGTAGATCTAGTTTCAAAGGATCCCCAAGAATAACCTCAATTGAGTAAAGAACTTGATGGTGAAAAAAAATGCAACTTGAGACCAGGTAAACTAACCATACCAGTACAGTGGGAGTTTCATGATTTCGGTCGAAATTAGGAGACCATTTGAGTAACTTCATTGATTTGCCTTCGATATTAAAATATTTAGAAGAGAATTACTAATACACATTATTCACATGTATAATCATTGCCATTCAATGGATCGTATATGAATGATTCATGTATAGTTTTTAGAAAATGTTTATATTATAGATCATATCATAATTATGTCAATTATGCATCCCATCATCATCTAAATGAATATTATAATAGATTACATATATTATATTGATCAAACTCCTAAATTTTTGTAAGATATTTTTCTTATACATATCACCTCACTTATAATAAAAAAGTTCATAGATTTAATATTTTATGAAGCAGCAGCCATGATTGTTGCAATACACAAATGAAGTACTTCTCTTTAATGCCACAAAGTCCACTTGCCCAATAACTTTCTCCAATTCCATAAACACTAATTCTTCTACTTAACCCAAATGCTCCACTTAACAAACACTCCCTTAACCTCTCCATCTCTACTCATAAACAGAAGGTACATGTGTAAGGATAATTTTTGGCCAGTACTATGTTGAGCTTAAGACAAATCTATTGCCCAAGCTAAAGTTTTATATATTGCTTACTTTAGATTCTAACATAATGATCAAGCTTGAGAAATAGATCAAATCAAAGTAGAATGTTTGAAATCAAGTAGTTCTTATTGTTAAAATAATTCCCTAGCCATTTGAGATAGAGATAGAGGATCTTCTCAGTTGCTTATGTTGAAAATAAAGTCATATGATCACAAGATAATTTTTTAATTGGTTAAAATGTGTCACTGAATGAATCTCAAGCCACAAATGGCTATGAAGGCTATCGACAAATAGCTCAAGGAACTTTTTTTTTTGAGATTTAGAAAATTCTCTTATTAGGACTTCATTATCCTTTAAAGCTCAAATTGCCCATCAATGTTGAGTTCATGTGAGGACTCTTTATATGGTCTTCAATTTTTTTTTTTTCATTATAGATAGGGTTGTCAAAAAATATGTTTGTTCACGAACAACTCGTTTTCGGCTCGTTCGTTAAGTAAGTAAGTCAAACACGAACAAATTTTTTAAGTTCGAATTATAAACGAGCCGAACACGAATAACTCTTTGTTCGCTCGTGTTCGAGTCGTTTTAGCACAAAATAATAAAAAAAAACATATAATTATTTATTTAAGAATATATTATATATATTCATATCTTAGTTTTAATCATAATAGTTTGTGTGGTAATGTTGTTTTGTGTTTTCATTTGCATAGATTTGATTTAGGTTCCAATCCAATATTTTACATCTTTTTTTTCCAATTAATTTTAACAAGTCAATTTGGAGCCGAACACGAACAAGAATCGAGCAAAACATAAACACACTGTTCACGAGCCAATTTCAAACAGGAACCGATTGCAAACATGAGCAATTATGAATAAGCTGAACACGAGTCAAGTTTGAACTCGCACAAACTTAGCTCGTTTACATCCCTAATCATAGAACTATGTGATATTGTGAATGCCCAAGCAATCACTTTTATTTTATCTTCAACAATTTCTTTCAAAGCTAGTCCATATAAGCAACTAGACCAATAATCCAAAGTGGAAAGACAAAAAATGGTTGAGAAGTATGAACCAAACCAAACAAGTGTCAAACAAGCAGAACTAAAGTCGACAATGATCCCACTAAATTTTATATAATGTCAATAAAAATCTAAAAGGATTTAGAAGTCAAGTGATCATTCACCAAATAAGTTACTACCAAAACAACACTAAGTGCTTAAACTCACTTGTAAACCTAGTGCTTGATTCAAAATTTGAAACTCAATGAATCTTCAAGATAAATTAGTCAATCCAGGGTGCCCAAATGATTTAAAACTAAAGGGCATAGTTTAATTTTAATAGCAGTCACTTTGATTATATAGGTTTGAGTGATAAGTCTTGAACTATAGATTTATCTTTAAAAGAAAACATAAGCTTTAGTGATACTGGAATTGGTATGGAAATATAGTGAGGAGAAACACAACACATCTATTGGTAGTTTTATAGAAGCCGGTAATTGAAAATATAAGAAGTTGAAAGAAAATAACAAAGAAAAATTTAAGGGAATATGGCGTAAGCATGTGGTGCAGGTTAGGGTTTGGGCATCTGGGGTGGTTGCAAGGAGGCAGTTGGAAACAACATTGGATAGCAGTAGGAACAGCTACAGGTGGGCTTTCTAGGCTATCTAGGGCAGCAATTAGCAAGGACGGGGATCAGAACAGCCATGGGTCATTTTGGGGTGGCCAAAACAAGGTGACAAGCAAGTACATTCATATAAAGGTTGTTCTGGGTGGTAGTAGCAAGGAGGAAAGGGAGGACAGCAAGACAATTGTTGTCCCTGGGCGACAATAACAGGTTTTACATTTTATGGGCGACGACGACAAGTAGATCAAATTGATCAAATCGGCAAGATCTTAAGATCCAATTGGCTTGATCAACTATTCCATGCTAAGTTTCAATAGGTAAAAAGCCCCCATCAATATAAAGCAACATAAAAAAAAAAACACTTTGCTAGATAAAACTACAAAACAATTTTAAGACAGTGATATACATTTACTTCAAGCTTCTTTAAATGAATACAAAAAATAAAGCCAAAAATAAAAAGGACAAGTGCCAATGGTCATCGCATTAGTAACTGTGATGAACATATCATTTTCTAATTACCTACAAAAAGAAAAACCTACCATAGCTTACCTTGCAATTCTAATACTACTGAGTGTGAAATAAATTAAGGGCATTTACATACATACCACCTAATTCTCATGTATTTACACATCTAACACCTAAATTTTGCATTACATTTATACCTCCCAAATCTTTCATATGACACCAAAAATACCACAATTTTAACTTTTAAAAAGAGATACACCTTCTCATGCATGTAAGGTACACACACACACACGAATTGAAGTTTACTTATCATACATGTAAATGCCTAAGAATTGAGCGGTATGTGTGTAAATCTTTCAATAAATGATGAAGCCAAAACTCTTGTTTTGACAAGGAATAATAATAAAATATCAGGTAGAATAAATGAACATTTTTTCAAAATTTTTCATCTTAAAATTTAGAGGCTTTCATTCAAGAGCCACAATTTCTTCTGAATAAAGAGGATGACATCTCCATCTTCTGGTTTTGAGTTAGGCTCCGCCTTCACTACTGCAAAGAATTCCCAGTGCAGTGCAGACAAGTACTTCTTAATCAACTCGATAACAGCTCGAGAGTCACGAATGATAGCGAAACCAGTTGGCCTAAGAATGCGATCCATCTCAAGGAGCAGATCCTCAGCACTGCAACCCCTCTTCTCAATGGTAGAGAAGACAGTCCATGCATGAAGGAGATCGTAAGTACGAGGGTAAATTGAGAATGATTCGCACCTGCAAAGAGTGAGTATCATTCTTTAGTCTTAAAACAGTTTTGAAAAGAACACATTTTAGTTTTGTATTTCATTTCAAATATAGTCTCATTCCAAAGATTGGTGCAAAATAGAGTAAGTTCCACATTACAGTTTTGACCAGAAAGGAATATATAACGAGGATTCAGAAAGTCAGCTTAAAATAGTCACAACAAGGATAATGAATAAGTAAACAAATAATCAAATGGTGGGGAAAAAAGGGGCATTTACATACAAATCACACAATTCTCATGTATTTATCTATCAAACACTTAAAAATTCATATTTACAAGCATACCATTTAAATCCTTAACATCACAACAAAAATATCACTATCACTATCACTATCTTTTTAAAAGCGAAATACACCTTTTAAAGCATAGGTTTATGACACCAAGGTGTTAAAAAGTGTAAATATCAAACTTTGTGTTAGATATGGAAATACATAAGAATTGTGTGGTATGTTTGTAAATTCTGGAATGTTCAAGCTACTGCAAGATTTTTATTTCCTAGTTTGTTCCCTGTTTTGTCTCCTCTCCTATTTTCGTCAATTCTGGAATTTTATTTTTTATTTATTCTCATGCCAAATTTCAATGGTTAGATTGTTTCCGGATATCAAGCCCGAATCATATTTTTCAACATTTTGATGTTATACTAAACCACACACACATACCTTAAACATTGTAGAAGCAATCAGGACTCATAGGAGAGGTAAATTATATGAAAATTAAATTCAAATCAAGCCTTTGGCTCGAATTGCTCTTATTAGGTAGAGTTAACCAAAAGATGATCAAAGTTAAACTCAATGCACTAGTGGTCAAACTATTTTTCAGCCCAGAAGTTTATATTTATAGAATGGATCAACTACTTGGTATTTCTACATCACATATTTATTATTCACTGTGGGATTAAACTTAATTCAAATCAAACCTTTGGCTCAAATAGTACTTATTAGGTAGAGTTAACCAAAAGATGATCAGAGTTAAACTCAATGAACTAGTGGTCAAACAATTTTTCAGCCCAGAATTTTATATTTATAGAAAGGATCAACTACTTGGTATTTCTACACCACATATTTGTTATTCACTGTGGGATTAAACTTAATTCAAATCAAACCTTTGGCAGTAATAGCACTTCTTAGGCAGAGTTAACCAAAAGATGATCACAACTTTGGTTCAAAGAATCCAACTAATGCATTATGAATGAAGCAATTTTGTTCTATCAAACTGAAATTTAAAATTTTTATAGGATGGATTTTGAAAGTATCAAGCAGCTTTCACGCCAACCGATAATACTAATCTACTTTCAAAAGAAATAAGAATAATAAATTACTCTAATCATCTCTAACCAAAAAAAGGATGCTTTTGAACGTTTACAATGGCTAAAAAAGTATAATTGGTAGAAAAACTTGTTGGCAAACTAAGCTGGATTAATTGCAATTATATAAAAATGAAAGTAACTCGAATATGGAGCTTACCAGTCATGCACAGTGCCGATGAGGCCTCTATCATAAATAATTTTGAGGGTGCTCGGTCCATCATGTGGCACAACATTCATAACCCAAACATCTTTATCCCTTAACGCTGCTGCAAATGATCCCAAGTTTGACTTCATATCCATAACGTTTCTTATAGTGTTGGAGGTTATTTTAGAGTTTAATTGATTCCAATAATTATCAACCCTATGCGACCAAATCTCCTGCATCGCATGAAATACAAAAAAATTAAATTCTTCTAAAATTGTGCCCACATTTATCAAAGCATTTACAATTTGTCAATAATTGAAATTACTTGCATGCAAAATCTGAGAAAGAGAGCATCATGCATGAAGAACTAATAGAGTTCAGCCAAAAAATAAAATATAATAAAAAAATAGTAAAAGTAAAAATTAGAATTACCATGTCTGTTTCAAAATTTTCTGCAGCATAACCAAGATCAGCAAGCCTTGGGGGAGGGGTTGTTAGTCGAGCAGGCCATGGAGCCAAGCCACTACCATTATCTTTATGATGTTCTGTTAAAAGCATATGTTATATATCTCAGTATAACGTTTAAGGGAAAAAATGATCTGATTGTATGTGAAGTGAAAAAATTTTAGCATAATTACAGAGGCGAACGCTAGAAACAGCATCTATGAAAAAAAGAGATGCTTTAAATACTTAAATATTCAAATAAAATATAAAATACAAATATGAGATACTATATGATAATTGTTGGTTCTATGACAATAAACAAAATATCTAAAGAACGGGTATGCATCATAAGGCAAACTTCCTCTAAGATTTTGAAATACATCCATCAAAACTAGCAGCACCAGCAGCCATACCCAACTAATTAGTTTTTTTTTTTTTTTTTTTTTGTATTCTATGAATTATGCACTTTATCAGGTGTTAAACCTATTATTCATAAATATTTTGAACAGCTTCTATCCATGTTACCACAAGTTATCTCTTTTCTTTTTATTCCTTCAAAATAAATTTATCTAACCTTAATTATGTTGAGTGTGGAGCCCAGTTTAATATATATTTAAACTTATATGCCTTTGTTTGCCATTTTCTGTAACTACTCCCGCCACCATTATCAAAAAAAAAAAAAAAAAAAAGAAAGAAATAAATATGAAACTCATAACAAGCATAAACTCTTGATTAATGACAATGGCACAAGCAGTGGGAGCTGTTTGTGCACTCCCATGTTGGGCAAGGATTGTGACAAATTCTTGGACATCCATCATTGCATCTATTTGTGCAGTCATTATTATCCACACACCAGATGGGAATGTCCAAAGCCCTAAATATTTGTCCATCATCAGCAGTTATATTTCTGATTGAAAATGAGTTTCCTGATACAAATATGTATGCAAAATCATATGATTAGAAATTTAAGATTCAACAATAAGAATAGTGATATTATACAGAGAGTTTATTGTTCATACCATAGGAGCTTAAGAGAATGAAGATGAGGAGAATGAAAGGAGCCCTTGCCATCATTTTTGTTATATGTTGATTGTAAGTTCATATATTTGAGAGTTTCTCTTAATTTATAGGAGTTTTTGCAGGAAGAGTTGGTGCAGATTCAAATCCAGGAAACGGTTTTATAATCTATTAATTATGCAACAAGGTTCCAGCTTTTGTTTTCCTTTGAACAAATGGAGGGACTTGCCAAGCTTATTGAATCTTATCTTTCAAGATAAAAGTTTAGCATAAAAAACAAAAATAAAAATACAAGATTAATAAATAATAAAAAATAACAAGCTCTGATAAGAAGTCATCATCCACTGACTGGTAGTTCGAAAAAAATCTTATTTTTTTTTTAATTTTAGATAATTTTAATATGGACTGAAATAGTCCACATGAATAACTATTTTAGCCGGCATTAAGAGATTATGATTTCGAAGTCATTTTGAGCAACATAAATTTTATAGTCATTAAATTAAGGTGATATTAACAATGATGAAGCTTTATATATTAAGTGAAGCTATTAGAATAATTTGTATATGTTGATGTTGTTTAGTTTGAGTGAAAGTCATAGATGTTGAAACTTTAGGGTAGGATTGAAATTAGTTAAATGTGGAGAGAAATCTAGATACAAAGAGTCATCACAAGAGAAACAGTTAAAATCAGCAGAAAAGCCGATGTTCGAGAATGCGAAGGTAAATTTATTTTTATTTTCGATGCCCTAGAGATGATTAGTATAAGCGATAGATTTTAAACGGGTTGAACCTTGGGTTTTGAGTGGGTTGACCTTCCGACAGTCATAAAATAATCACATATGGTCCCAATAGTCGATTCATAACATATTATAAAGCGACAGCCAAAACGCGTCGGAAAGTCAAGCAGAAGTTACTTGGGCTATTAATAACCAAAGATCATGTTTTTTTAACCGACGGTTAAACCCTTCAGTTATTAAAAAAAATTAAGCATTAACGGTTAGAAGACTGTTGGAAAGCCATCAGAAAATGTCTTTATATCGAACCGACGTTTGAAATCCCACATTTCTTTCTCGCACGTGTGCCTTTGCTTTCGGGCCAACCGAACCCTCTCGAATCCCCTTTTCGTCAGTTTACGGTTTCTCAAGTTCATGCGCTCAAATCATAAGCAACTTTGATTGCATTATCCCTTAAAGTTTTTATTTAATTTGAGCAGTTAAACTTTTTGCATTTTGAGATTTTTTTGGAGAAATTTAAAATTTTGATTCGGTTTTGTATAATTTTGATGACGTATCTCATCGTTGCATGCTTACAACTAATCTCTTACGACTTTCCATGTCTAACACACCAACCACATAAACATATGTTTAATATATCTCCAACCTAAACTTTCACATTTATATACATAACACTTTGATCCTTTAAAAATGTATATTTTACTAAAAAAAAAAAGGTAATTATGATGTTGATGTTTTTGATGCAATAATAAAATTTTTAGTGCTATTTGTGTAAGTATGAAATTTTAGGTTTGAAATATGTAAATACATAAGAATTGTGTGCTACACATGTAAATCCACCTTTTCAAAGCCAAATTGACATATAGCACATAATTCTTATGTTTTTATGTCTCTCACATCTACATTTTTGTGTTTTCGTACATGTAACTTCGGTGCTTTTAATCTATGCGTGAAAATATGTATTTCGCTTCTTTTAAAAGTAGTCATAATAGTATTATTTCTGATGTGATATTAAAGTTTGGAATACTATGTATGAAAATATCAAAGTTTAGGTTTGAGATGTGTAATTTATATACACGTGACACTTTGGTGCTTTAAACATAAGCATAAAAATGATGCATTTTATTTTTAAAAATTGATAAATGTGATGTTTTTGATATGATGTTAAAGTTTTGATTGTTATGTGTGTAAATATGATAGTTTAGGTCTGTGATATGTAAAAACATGAAAATGGTATGTTACACATGTAAAGGCGTCTTTTTATAGGGACTTACGACCTTGCCCTATATGCAAGACAACTAATTTGGGATAATGCCTAATTTAGTTTTCAATTTGACTTTTGAAAAGGGTGTTTTTGTAACTTCGCCTTTTGTCCGCTTGTGCAGATGTGTTACGGATCCAATGATGTAAAACGTTCTAGATTTTGATTGTCGTTGCACAAGTGAGCCCCCATTATCTTAGTGCAAGACTCCAAATGCTTTAGCTAACCAATGAAATACCTCATTTATAATTATAAATGATAGAGTGCGTTCATCAAAGGTTTCATTCGAGTTCGTCGGTGAGTCATTGAGTCATCTTAGCATGCAAGATTTTATTCGAGCTCATGGGTGAGTCATCAAGTCCCTCATAAATATTGTGCAATTTTTATTTTTATTTAATTCCGCTTTTTATATTAATGAATTAATTTATAATAAAAGATTTATCATTTTAGCCCAATGTTTAGATGAAATTTGGACGGTCTTTCAACAGCCTCTTAGCGTCATCCCCATGATGGGGCTACATCGGAAAGTTGAGTCTAACCACCATAACAAAAAAGGCATGCATGTAGATGTGTAGCCGAACACGAGCGAGCCCGAGCTCAACTCGTGTTCGTTTAGTTAAAAAATATCATTATTTATGTTCGACACGTTAATATTTCAAACAGAAAAAATTTGTCTGT